CCATGTTCCATGTTCCATGTGCCATGTTCCATGTGCCATGTTCCATGTTCCATGTGCCATGTTCCATGAGCCATGTTCCATGTGCCATGTTCCATGTGCCATGTTCCATGTGCCATGTGCCATGTTCCATGTGCCATGTTCCATGTTCCATGTTCCATGTTCCATGTGCCATGTTCCATGTGCCATGTTCCATGTGCCATGTTCCATGTTCCATGTGCCATGTTCCATGTTCCATGTGCCATGTTCCATGTTCCATGTTCCATGTGCCATATGCCATGTTCCATGTTCCATGTGCCATGTTCCATGTTCCATGTGCCATGTGCCATGTTCCATGTTCCATGTTCCATGTGCCATGTGCCATGTTCCATGTTCCATGTGCCATGTGCCATGTGCCATGTGCCATGTTCCATGTTCCATGTTCCATGTGCCATGTTCCATGTGCCATGTTCCATGTGCCATGTTCCATGTTCCATGTGCCATGTTCCATGTTCCATGTGCCATGTTCCATGTTCCATGTGCCATGTGCCATGTTCCATGTGCCATGTTCCATGAGCCATGTTCCATGTTCCATGTTCCATGTGCCATGTGCCATGTGCCATGTTCCATGTTCCATGTTCCATGTGCCATGTGCCATGTGCCATGTTCCATGTTCCATGTTCCATGTTCCATGTTCCATGTTCCATGTTCTATGTTCCATGTGCCATGTTCCATGTGCCATGTTCCATGTTCCATGTGCCATGTTCCATGAGCCATGTTCCATGTGCCATGTTCCATGTGCCATGTTCCATGTGCCATGTTCCATGTGCCATGTTCCATGTGCCATGTTCCATGTGCCATGTTCCATGTGCCATGTTCCATGTGCCATGTTCCATGTGCCATGTTCCATGTGCCATGTTCCATGTGCCATGTGCCATGTTCCATGTGCCATGAGCCATGTTCCATGTGCCATGTTCCATGTGCCATGTTCCATGTGCCATGTGCCATGTTCCATGTTCCATGTGCCATGTTCCATGAGCCATGTTCCATGTTCCATGTTCCATGTGCCATGTGCCATGTGCCATGTTCCATGTTCCATGTGCCATGTGCCATGTGCCATGTGCCATGTTCCATGTTCCATGTTCCATGTTCCATGTTCCATGTGCCATGTTCTATGTTCCATGTGCCATGTTCCATGTTCCATGTGCCATGTGCCATGTTCCATGTGCCATATTCCATGTTCCATGTTCCACGTTCCATGTGCCATGTGGAAAAAAATAATCATTATTTTCGGTCCCTGGTTTTAAGAGCCCCAAACTGAATACTAGGTATGTTTATTTCGTATTTACAGATTTAATTCGCATGAAAATACGCTCACTATTCCTTAAATGGATAATTGAGAATTTCTTAGAATTGCTCTCACCTTTTTGTAGTTTTTTGACATGTAAATGGACCAGTTGTCGATCATGTAGAGCCACTTTTTCTCCCGTGCGATGATCTGTGCCTTGGACAGCGGCTCCTTGGGTTTGTCGGAACGCTGGAATCCACCGTAGAAGCCATTTCGGTCCGGGCAGCTGGAGACGGTGGAGCAGAGGGAGATGGTGTCCAGGGATCGCGGTGCCGTGGCCATCGCCAAAGCCAGCTCTCCGGGGCAGGCAGCAGTGAACTGAAAGCACAAATCGTTAGACGATCATCAGTACGCCCACTAACAGCACCCACTAATTGTGTATGCAAATTCCCTGCCACAGAGGTATAGATAAATAGCCGGGGGAGAGCCTCTCCGTACTTGAGTAACAACAAGTGCGCAATTAAGTGCACTACTTCTCTCCCTCGTTGGGGGAATTAATAATTTTTTGATGCCCCACATTATTTTTTCGGCAATCTCGACGCGTTATCGCTATCAGTACGTTAAATTAGGCTATTTCGGGGAGATAACTACTAATTGACCATGAAATATGATGTGCCCAGGTTCAAACCTGATCTTCATGGAGCAGTTCCAATTGGCTGAGGCTGCAGCTCAGCTGCGAAAAATACAGAAAAGGCATTGTCCACCAACTGAGCGGAAATCTAATTCGTTCACTTGGTAGTATTACAGCCAAGAGGGTCGTAAACAGCTGTTGATTGGTCCCTAATCGGACATAATCGCTGGAACGCGGTAATTACTCATCAGGCGACGGAATGGGACAGTGAAAGTACTTGATTCCACTCGATTCTCCCATGCCTAATGACAGTGGGACACGGGCTGCCGCCGGTGGCACTTCCATTTCCATTTCCACATGCATCGCCGGATGCTCGAGTTGGCTTGATGAGCAGCTCACTTCACCTCGGAGGCAGCCACAAAAACAACAGCTAATTGAGGCAACTGTGTCTGCGCCAGAACAAGTGGCTGAATAATTGCAAAAGCAAGACAAAAGAAGCCAGAAATAAGGGCTACCTATTTGAGGAACCGAGACCTGGAATACCCTAATATGGAGTGGATTTCGGAAAGGGTGTTTGGGGAGAACTTGTATCGCGTCTAAGTAATATTTATTTTTAATCAATTCAGTGCATGAAAAATATATAACTAGTTAGTTAATTTAGTAAAATTTTTATTTAAAAAAACTTTTTATCTGAAAATACTTGGTGTATTATTGGGATTATAAAAATACAAGGGTTTTAATGGAAGAATCTATTGTATCTTTCGGGAAAAGGAGCTGGGGTAAAACTTATATCATGTCTAAGTATTATTAATTTTTATTCAGTTCAGTGCACCAAATATATATAACTAGTTAGTTAATTTAATAATAATTTTATTTTAACAAACTTTTTATCTGAAAATACTTGGTGTATTATTGGGATCTTTAAAATACAAGGGTTTTAATGAAAGAATCTAATGAACCTGATCCAAATATTATAAAAATGGGAAATACTTTCCAAAATACATTGATATGAAAATTTTCGTATCGTAAAATTATCATATCCCCTGTATAACAGGGTGTAAAATCAGCCAAAGGGGAAAATCGCGATGCAAAAGCAGTGCACGAAAACGAATGCAATATAGTCTGGTAAAGGCAGCGATATAGCCGACAAATTGCGACCTTCGAGGCCTACCGATCGCGAACGGGAACGAGAACCCTTATCGGCCCCGCAGCGCCGAGTGATATAAAGCAAGATCGCAAACCTCGGCGGCGGCGCGTCACCTCAGTGGGTGGGCGGCTGGCGGTGGGTGGTGTGAGGCGTGTTGGAGACTAAACTATTTTAGCCCATTCATTTCTTAACTGACAATTGGGCTGCCATTTTGCCTACGCGCTCCAAAATGAGTAAAGCAAACTGTCGATGTGTATGTGTGCACAATACAGGGCAATTGTTGTTATTAACAGTGAACCGTTCCTACACCGCCCGCCCCCACATTCACATGTAAACTTTTTGCCTCACCTTTTGCTATGCTGTTCTCGCTGTGGTTGTTGTTGTTGCTGTTGCTCTGCTGGTGTTGTTGCTTCCGTGGAATGCGCAATAGCTGTAACTTATATTTCACGACGGTTTCGGGTTTCTTTTCGATTGAACTTTCCAGCACACACTTGCGCCAGCACAAATGTGTTGGATTTTATTGTGAAAACATAATTTCCGCAGAGCTTTTTGTTTATTTTCTATTTTATTTTCTCTCATCACTAGGGCGTATGAGCAATTTTTGGCGTAACGTAACGCAAAACGTAACTGTCAGTTGTACGTAAGTGTCAGTTGTACGTAAGTGTCAGTTGTACGTAACACCGCTCTCCCGCTCTCCCGGAGAGCGAGCTTGGCGATGGCAACGAAGCAACTACTGTGCGCTGATCGATAGTGTTATCGATACTTGGTGGGCTACGAACGAGGTGGCAGCACAGAATGACTTTGTTGACCGCGATTTCTTAAGAATTTACGTGCAAAAAGAATTTGGCGGTCGGCCATGGTTCTCTTGTAATTGAATTTCAAAGTTCCCGGGTTTGCTATAAAAAACAAGGGTGCTTTTCTCATATTTTCAATCAAAGAAATTAAGTTTTAATGAGTTCCTATAAAATTAATATATTGTTTAAATTAGTTCCTATAAAATTATTTAATTGTTTAAATGAGTTCCTATAAAAAAAATTTAGAATTTTTTTAAATTAAAAGTTTTAATGAACACTTTTCCGCACCACCATTGAGGTAAAGTTCCAGGTTTTTTCTTTAATAACCCTTTATGGCCTAGATATCTCTCTGCTGAAGTATTCCCGAATAGGAAGTATTTGAAAGAAGTGCGTTTAAAAAAGAAATTTAAAAAAAGACTGCGCCAAAGGCAAAAAAAATTTAAGAAAAAATCGCGCGATTTTTTCTTAAATTTTTTTTGACTGCGGCGCAGTTTTTTTTGGTCAATAACAAGCTAGTAGTTTTAGCTGAATTAGGGTTGGTGTGTCACTCAGAAAATACAAATTCAATCTTTAAGTTTAGTTTTGGGTGGAAAAGACTAAAAGAAAGGTTAAAATATATAATCCTCCTTGTACCGCGATTTCTTCTGATTATCATAATAAAAATACACATGTTGTCATCCATGGTTATGAGAGTTCTTAAGAACTCGCTGTCCGTCGAGGACCTTTTTACGCGGTTGTGAGGACTAGTTCCCTATAATACCAATTACTCAGATGTTTGGAATTTTAAATTAGTCTTATTTTGACAAAAAAGGAAAAGGGTACATATATACATATATGATTTTTATAGCAAACGTTAGAAAAGCATACTTGTTTTTTATAGCAAACCCGGGAACTTTGAAATTCAATTACAAGAGAACCATGGCCGACCGCCAAATTCTTTTTGCACGTAAATTCTTAAGAAATCGCGGTCCATCGAGGATAATTTTTTCGCGAATTTCGGGGGTGAGCCCGCTAATGTATAGTATTACCGAAGTTTTGAAAACCCGTTACAAAAAGTTTAAAAATTTCCATGTTTAAAAATGTAATGCTATTTTACGAAAAAATAGATTTAAATAGATTTAAAATAACACATTTTATTTATTTGCATTATTATAGTGCAGTAAATCATTCTGGAAGCTGAGACATCCACTTCGACCCCACTTTGTGCTGCGCCAGACGCCACAAAAGCAGCCAGACAAGTGGGAAAATATGGACCACAGCGAACTCTGCGAATCTGCTGAGGATTTCCCTCCAGGGACCCACGCTTGTAACCCTGTGCAAAAGAACCAGCGACATCGAACTGCTCATGAGCAGCAGTCTTACGAAGATTTGGCGCTCTTGCGAAGCAAGATTTCGGTAATTTCCCGCCAGGATACAGAGTACGAGCAGCCAGGGAAGGACCAGCTTCATAATCATAACCAGGCCATAGGTCAGTGTGGAATGTCCAAAACAGGTTTCGTGCAGGATATCCAGGAAGTCATCGAAGGCCGGAAAGCTGCCGATGACGAAGAAGGAGTACCAGCTGTACACCAATATGTAATGCGAGGCTGTCTTGGGTCCAATGCTTTCGTTCCTCTCCAGCTTCATGCGGAGGCCCAACTGCAGTTCCATGGCCAGCATTTGGATGACCACCGATTCGTAAGAGGTGCAGATAAGGGTGTACAGGGTGCTTAGGTTGAAGAACACCAGTTCGCTGGCCTGCAGATTGCGTCGCTGCCAGAGGACTACGTAGCCAAAATAGATCCAGGACAACATGTACGTGATCCCGGGAAGGGATCTAATCATGATGTATTCCAGGGCAACCAGGAGAACGAGTATGTTGCTCAGCCAGGTGACGAGATTGAGGTACACTCCACAGGCCAAGGGACGTAGAAGAGTCAGCAGGATACTAAAGATGAGAGCTCCGGGCTGCGAGCAACCCAGTGATTCCGGAAACACAGATATACCAGTGAGTCCAAGGAGCAGCAGTAGCCACAGGTAGAACTGCATTCCCCGTTTCCGGAAGGCTTCTCTGTTGTTAAAGCCAGCGAATCCCAAGTAGCCCACTGCCAAAACGTAGCGTCTGAAGAAGCCACCCAAACAAATCAGTGTTAGTAAGGCGGTGGAAATCAAGCTCTTCAGGATCACTATTTTCGGTCTCTGGGAAACAATCTTGAGGGTCACCTTCCAGTAGAGCGAAGGCATTAGAAGGATTGCCTGCACCAGCAGAGGAATCCTTTCGAGCAGCATGAAAATCACCAGCAGACCCGTCAGCAATCGATGAAATCCTCTGAAGAAAACCAATCGCCTGGAGGAGGTTACCTCCTGGATTTCCATTTGGTTTCTACTCTTTCTTCCATCCAACAGAAGGCAGCGCAGGCAATATAGCCAAGCGATTTCAGCCAAGCTCACTGCTATAACCAAGATTTTCCTATAGTAATCCTTAAAGTAGTCCATTGCCTTTACCAGCACGGGCATAAAGTTGCAGCTATATTCCAAGAGAGCCTTGAAACGGTGCTGCTTCTGGAGACCCAACGAGTTCTTCAGGAAGCTGTCCATCATCTGAAAGTTAAGCCAGAAGGCCGGAATCCGTTTGGGATGGTGCTCCCTCAGCCGGCGAGCTTGGAGCAGCAGCTGCTTGGCATTGGTCAACATGGCATTGGCCTCGTAGCGCAGACTGGCGTTCAGCATCCCCTTGGGCAACATTCCACGGCTGTTGATTGGTGGTGGAATTCCCAGCAAGGCACTCATAAGAGCTGTCAGGTGCGGAGGATTAAGGACATGCAGGGGCAACCTGTAACCTGTATCATTCGCCGGAAAGCTGCGTCCTGGCATGGATTTAATATGAGCCACTCCGGATCCCCAGAGGAAGAAAGGCGATTCAACTGCCAGGCTGCAATCGTCTGTAAGGAAATATTTAAGAATTAAGTTAAGGTAGAATTGTGTATGACCTATAAAGTACCTTGGATTGATTTCTTACTTTGCATTTGTGGATCGCCAAGACTGGAAGTAAACAAGTAAGCCGTTCTTCGATCGGGAAAGGTTTTCTCAAAGCGCTTGTAGAGCTTAAAAACATTTTCTTGAATCCGTTGAAGACTTTCGCAAGATGGTTCCACGCCGGTCATATGAACAAAGAAGATGACTTCAGTGGAATTTAGCAACTGATGTGACCAAAGAGACAAAAACCTTTCAACTGATTGACATACGTGATCTTCCAGCTCGGAGCAGGATTTAGTAACGCCTGCATCAAATGTTTCGAACTCCATTGGCATGGGTCTGTAGATCTTGGGAAATCGTAATAGTAGCTCCGTTGTGGACCAAGCAAAACTTAGGTTAGCCCGATCAAATATAGAGTCAATAGGGGCTGGTTTTCGTATCCATCCTCTAACCACCCTGGCCGCATCCTCATTAATGCCGGAAAACAGGGAAATAAACGGGGACATCGGGTGGTATGTGGTCGTCTCCGGACGACTAATCCCCACCAGACCCTGATGCAAAAAGAGATCCCTTAGCAGTGGCACGTTCCTGCACCGGTTGGCCAAGAAGGTCTGAGCGGACAGGCCGTCCCGCACAAAAACTACCAGGCGATCGGCCGGCGGAGGCTCCTTCAAAGGCTCCACTTTCTGCGGTTCCAAGCTGCCCGAAGATGACGATCGTAGGTAAATGAACACCACTGATAGCAGCAGAAGCAGCTGAAACAGCGCCAAACTCTTATAAGAATCCAACATTATTATTATAAGTATTGAAATTCATTTAAAGTTCTCAACAATTTCTTTTAACACTTTATAAAGCCTGCTTTGATAAACAAAAAATGAATGTAATTCTGTCAATTTAAAAAAGTTTCAATAATATAAGCGCAACCTAAAAAAATGTGTTGCTAAATATTATAATTTTGACATAACATCACTATTTATTAAAAAAAAAATTTTTTAAGAATTATGTTTTTATGTTTTATTTCCAATTTATTGAGTTTTATTACGAACTCTACGCGGTATGGCATTTATTAACTTTGTTTTGGAAACAATACTGATATTTTTTGGAGGAAAGTTAGAGTTACTGAATTATGATCCGCTTTCAGGGTCTCTAAAAATTACAGGAAACTCTTTTCGGTCGACATAGAATTCATTTCTGAATACTTCAGATATGAAGTTGGCGCTCTTTCAAACGTTTCTCTGGTGCTTCTGTTCAGTTGTCGTCAATGTGTCGTTCCTGTTGTATCGTCGCCTCACAAATCGATTGGTGGGAAAACTGAAAAACCTGATGGAGATGTGGAAAGCGCAGGTGGTGCTGGTGCACCTTGTGCTGATGGCTTGTCTATTACGCGTTTACTATCAGCCTGGACCGCGGGATCACCTGGAGCCGCAGAAGACTTTGCAGGAAATGGGGGTTTCCCCACCCGCCGATCGCTTGGTTGTCTTTCTGCTCGACGGCCTAAATGCGGAGACGTTCTTCTCGAACAACGGCAGTCGTTCCTCCTACATGAGGGATCTAATCCTGCGCGAAGGTCTCGTGGGCATATCCAAAACTAGTGTTCCAACATTGACAAAATCTGCAAAAGTATCTTTGTTCGCTGGATTCAATGAGGTGCCATTGCTACTGCCAACTGAAAAGTTCGACTCGATCTTTAATCGCACCTTGGCTTCCAAAGAGGGAACTGTATTACAATTCTCGGACCTAGCAAATCTTCGCCACCGTCTGTCGAATGGTGCTTGCTTGAAAAAGTTAAGGAACTCTACTAGCCTGGTGATGTTCGTATATCTGGAGGATGTTGGCGGAGCTAGTCCCCTGGATGTGGGCTATCAAAAGAAGCTCCACAATACCCAGCGGAGCATCAGAGAGACCTATGAACTGATCGAGAGCACCTTTAATGACTTCAGAACTGCTTACCTGTTCACTTCAGCTCACGGGCTTAGCAATTTGGGTGAGTGTCCCATCGGTTTTTTAACTACATCTCCCCGACACCTTATCATCTTGGCGTTTAGGCTCTCATGGTGGCGGATCGGATGTAGAGAGGGATACACCCTTCTTTCTTTGGGGAGCCGGCGTAAATCACATGACCAAGAATGTCACCTCTAATTTTGTGATCAACGATGGCGTTACCCTGCAGCTCCACAAGTTGGAGCAGATCGAGTTGGCTCCTCTGATGTCTGCCCTGATTGGTCTGCCACCACCGGTGAATAATCTCGCCATGCTGCCACTGGGCTACATGAAGGTATCTCGGGAATACGAGAGAAAGGCATTGCACCTGAATGCTCTGCAACTTTTGGCCCAAGCCAAGGCCATTATAAGACGTCACGAGCGGGGTGTTTTCAGCGAATGGCTGCCGAGGGCTGAGGATCTCGATCTGCAGAGGATCTCCTACTATCAGAGCCAGATGGATCACCTCTTGGATAAGGGTTGGCGCAGCAAGGCGCTGGAGACGAGCAAGCTGGCCATTAAGGTGGCCCAAAAGTCCCTGAAGTACTACTATGGATATTACCACGTTCCACTGGTAATCGCCATGGTGATGGCTCTTCTTGGCTGGCAATTTAACCTGCTGGTGAAGCTAACAAGAGATTCAAGGGACTCGAAGGATAAACGCAGGGGCTTCCTCACGTGGCACACCATTGTGCTGATGGCTCTGGGACTTTTGCTGGGCGAGATCGTCTTTCTGCGTTGGGCCTCCCTAACGACGATCTTTTGCCTGATGGTGCCCTTTGGCATTTGGTCTGTAACCCTGGCTGAATTGCCCCAGAAGGGCAGATGGATCGAAGAACCCCTAAAACACCTTAGGTGGATAGTAGTACCCGCTGCAATGATCATTGTGGCGCTCCACTGCAGCTGCCCCTTCAGTCTGGCCTACATCCTATGTGTTAACTTTTACAACCGACGTGGCTGGGCCCATCCTACGGCAAAGTTCCTGGCCTGGTTGGCTCTCGTCTGTCTGCTGAGTGGATTCCTTTGGTCCCAGAAGGGAATGCAGATCCTGATGACCACCAAATATCGAGTGATTCTGCAAACGATCAGCATGTTGGTGGTAATCCTGCGTCCCCTTTTCCTTGGCGAGAATCACAAGTGGCGCGTGTGGCTGATCAATGGAGGAATACTGATTGTCGGAGGCATTGGAATCTACTTCAGGGAGATGGGCAAGCCGGTTCCCCTATACATGATGGCTGTTAATTGGATGTACCTCATCTATGCCTTTGCTTCGGTGCCTTACTGTGGAAGTTCCTGTCCCGCATATCGACTACAGCTGCTCCGGTTTAACTTGCTCACACTTCATGCCCTCCTGAGTGATTCGTACACATCCCTTTTCGCCCAGGCGCTGATCATAGAGTATCAAATGGGGATCGAGGTTCACGAAGAGAGCGATATAGCCGATGAAGAAGAGTTTGTGGAGTTCAAGGTGGAGGGACCACTCACTCCATCATGGCATCTAGAGATCTCCTATCGCTTTGCTGTATCGATTCTACTGTACTTCCACGTATCCCTTTTTGGAACTGGACACTGGTTGACCAGCTTCACCTATCTGGCCAGCACCGCCCGACTTTTCCTTCCCGATTCCTGCAGCGGACCGATGCCATATCTTGTGCTTGTCCATGCGCTAATACCTTCGCTGATAATCCTCTCCAGCTTACAGGCACTGAGCAACTTTGGCCGGCGGGAGATGCGACCCATTCTATCATGTGTCATTCTCATATGCAATGTCGTCGTTTTATTCTTCGTTCTGTTTGTTCCTCATCACATTAATTGGCCAACTGTTCACCCGTCCCTAATCAGTGCACTTTTGGCCCAACTGACGGTCGTCCTGCTTTTGGCCTGCGACACTGGCGCCGTCTATTTCTTTCGGGGCATTAACATGAACAGATCTCCGCTTCCGAGAGATCTCGAAGATGATAAATTTAAGGGACCGAGCCCCACAATTGCCACAAGTGAGGTGTAATTGGGGGCTTATATGTCGAAAACTATGAAAACAAATTAATGGTCACCCTGTTTTAAACTTTACAAACCTTTCACTGAACTTCTAAACAAAGAAATCTGCAGATTGTTAGATTTTATATAATCAACGAATCTGTAAGCTTTAAATAAATCGAGGTTCTTTGAAAATCTTTATTTTATTTAAATTGCTCATTATTATAGTTTAGTTTCTTATCAAACGAAAATTAACGATAGCAAAACAACCCAGTTTTTCTGAGACTCTGTATATTTTACCATTCGTTGGGCTGATTCTTTTTTTTACAGTATATCATATCTATAAGAATTGCATCGTATAAGTATTGTATGTAAGGTTCGAAGGCATAATACTTTAAGTAGAAAATTAACTTAAATGCAGCTGGCTGGATTAGGTACAACTTTGCAGGCGCTTACAGCCAGGAAATGAGACCTTTAAGGTAAGCATTTACCAGATCTATAATCTACTCAGATTTGGGCTTCTTTGATTCCAAGTGGGCCTGAAAGACGCATACAATTAGGGCTACTGAAAATCATAGGTGACTAAATCAAAACATACCTTTTCGGCCACTTTGAGCAGACTGTCGAAGGTGTTTTGTCCAGTTTCCATGACCATGCCATGGAAAATTTTCGAGTCGGTGGAGGTGAGAAGTTCGTAGGGTGAACCAAACTCTACAAGATAACCGGCATCCATTACCAGCACTCGATCCGAATCCATAATTGTGTTCAGACGATGGGCTATGGTCAGCACTGTGCAGTCGCGGAATTTGCTCCTTATTGTCGCCTGGATGAGGGCATCTGTTTGCGGATCCACATTTGCGGTCGCCTCGTCCATTACTAGGACGCGATTTTCGCGAAGAATTGCCCTGGCCAGGCAGACTAACTGCCGCTGACCCACGCTGAAATTGCTGCCGCCCTCGGATATCTTGCTCTGCAGACCACTGGGAAGCTCTGCAATCAGTGGCTTCAGCTTCACCTCCTCCAACGCCTCCCACAGCTTGGCGTCGTTATACTCCTCGAAGGGATCCAAGTTATACCTCATGGTGCCCGAGAAAAGCACTGGTTCCTGCGGTATAATGGATATCTTGCTGCGCAGATCAAAGAGTCCCATCTCAGCCGTGTCCCGTTCGTCGATGGTGATGATGCCCTCATTGTAGGACAGTCGAAAGAGCGCATTGATCAGCGAGGACTTGCCGGCTCCAGTGCGTCCCACGATTCCAACCTTCTCACGCGGACGGATGCGGAAATTCAATGCCTTAAGGACGTACTTGGCCTGCGGATCCGGGAAGTAGCGCAGGCACAGATCCTCCGCTATGATCTCACCCTTTTCGGGCCAACTCGGTGAGGGTTTCTTGCCCTCGCGGGACTCGAACTCACCCTCCGGCTCAATCTCGTCGTACTCCACCACTCGCTCCACTGCGGTCATCGTGTTCTCCAGCTCCGCCGACTGGCGCATTCCCCACTGCACCATTCCCGTCATTCCCATCGCCTGGGTGATGGCCAAACCCACTTCGCCGGAGCTCTTCGGTGGGTTTATAAAGTAGTTGAGGATGATGATCACAATGTACAACGTGCAGAAGCAGTCCAGGTAATAACCAAAGGCGCGATTCGTCGCCAGAAAGGTGTAGTAACCAGAACTATGCAAGTCCTGCAGATTGTCGAACTCCGCAATGAGTTCCTTTTGAGCTCCCAAAGCTCGGATTGTTGGCAAACCGGTGATCGTGGCACTCAGGTGGGAGTAGATGGGTGATCTGGCCACCGCCTCCAGTCTCTTCACATCCCTCGATGTCTTCAGGTAAAACTCTCTGATGTAGTAGAAAATAATAGCCAAGGCTAAAGTCAATATGAGGTAGTACGGATTGGTGATGCAGATGACGACAATGATGCCGAGGAGAGTAAGGAAGATTTGCACCACATCCAGCATAACGGTGGGCAGGACCTCGTCCAGCTGGCCCAGATCCTTGGAGAAGCGATTGAGGATGCGTCCCGAGGGATTCGTGTTGAAGAAGTTCATGGCAGCCCTCGTAATGCCCTGGTACATGGCATTGTGCAGCTGTGTGGAGCTCCTCATGGCCATCTTGTAGAAGAGCATGGTGCGCACGATGGTGAAGACCACCACGGCCACATTGAGAGCGGCAAAGTAGTACATGTCCCGCGGATCCTCGTTAATATCCGTCTGATCGTACACGTTCTTGTCAACCCTGTAAAGCCAAAAGAGGTATTATTATTATTATTAAAAGGGATATCTTTTCACTTACCAGTAGGATAAGAAGTAGTCCGCCGCTGAGCAAAGGATTTGGGTGGCCAGGCAGAGGAAGACCATGAAGAAGAGCATGAACCAGCTGCTCCCAGCAGTCAAATACTCCTTGTACAGTCCCAGACCGATCTTGCCCTCCACTCGCGTCTCCTGCATCTGCAGGGAGGCCTCCTGGGCCATCGACTCCGCCATGGAACTTAAGGAGGTGAAGCTGTTGTTCCGGGTGCTGGGCTTACTGTTCTTGCTGCCCCGCCTGCTCATCGAGGGCACGTTCAAAAGGTCTAGACCCTCACCACCTGCCCCCTCGGCCTCGTCCAGCTCATCATCATCTTTATTCGGCGCCGTCAGCAGTTGAGCAAAGTCCAATCCACTGCGCTTCATCGATGAGTACGTGCCCATTGCACTAATGCGACCCTTATCCATTATGACTATCAGGTCAGCCTGCTCCAGGAACTGCAGCTGGTGGGTGACGAGGATCACGAGCTCACTCCTCAAGTAGCCGCGCATGCACTGATCAAATAAGTGGCGCCCAACGTGGGTGTCCACAGCGCTGAGTGGATCGTCTAGAAGATAGATATCCGCCCGTCGGTAAACAGCTCGGGCCAAACTAATCCTGGCCTTCTGTCCGCCGGACAGTGAAGCTCCTCGCTCGCCCACAATCGTCTTGTCACCGAAGGGCAATAGTTCAAAATCCCTTTCCAGGGCACACTTCTTCACCACCGTGCGATAGCGATGTTTGTCCCACTCCAGGCCAAATAGGATATTCTGTCGCACGGTACCCGTAAAAAGCCACGGCTCCTGGGCGGCATAGGAATAGCTCCCATTGACCCTTAGGCTACCACTTTCTGCCGGCAGCTCGCCGAGCACAGCTTGAATTAAGCTGGACTTGCCAGCGCCCACGGGTCCGATAACGGCCACCAACTTGCGACGACCCAACTGGAGGTTGATGTCCTCCAGCGTGGGGTCCACCGAATGGCTTTCCCAGCGGGCCTGGAACTGGCTGAACTCGATCAAATTCTCAGGGATTCCATTGCTCTTGGGACTGTCTCCGTTCAAAGACTCCGTCTTCGGCATGGGAATAACTGGAGCCTTTGATTTATCCCTGACCAGCGTCTCCGGGCGATGCATAAAGGTCTCCAACCGGCGGACAGAAACCAGAAGCTCCGCAAACTGGGAGATGCCCTGCGGGAAGAACATGGTCACCGAGCGACGCAGGATATTATAGTAGGCAGTGACGAAGAAAGCCCTCTCGGCATTCAGCACATTTCCCAGCACGACGAAGGCAATCAGACTGGAGGAGGTAAAAATGCGCGACAGAAACATGGCAAACGAGATGAGGATGCCGCGGATGTAGTTGACTTGTTTGATGCACAGCATCTCATTGAAGCGGGTCAGCTCCACCACCTTGCCGAATGGCTTTTCCCAGGCGTACATCTTGATGACCTGGATGCCCGAGATTATCTCGTTCATCATCCGGACACGTTCGTCCGTTCGCAAGGCGGTGCGCAGGCGCAGCACGCTGGTTCGCTTGCCGAGGTAGGATTGGAAGGGCAGGAACAGAAGCATTATCGCAACCCCAAAAAGGGAAGATATGCCAATCTAGAAAATAAAAGGAATATACATTAGGGTGGGTCGATTTGGGACCCCAAAAATCGTATAGGGGGAACGTAATCTTTAAAGGATTCTAAGCCATATTGGCGAACATACTTATGGTCTAAAATGATGTTTGACCCCCCCCAAACGCGAATGAAAAATACTGTTTTTTTGAGAAAAATATCATAGTAGTCAGCACATTTATAGTACTGAATATCAATTTCAAATTTTTATTTTAAATTTAATAATACATCTGAGCTGACTACTATGATATTTTCCTCAAAAAAAGCTGTATTTTTCATTCGCGTTTGGGGGGGGTCAAACATCATTTTAGACCATAAGTATGTTCGACAATATGGCTTAGAATCCTTTAAAGATTACGTTCCCCCTATACGATTCATCACTTTTTTCGGCCCCATACAAATCGACCCGCCCTAATATACATACAGTTAGAATTGCGAATCATTAGTTTTTTTTTTAAATCATAAATATGCATATATATTTTCATTAACATTTTTCGCTCCAAAATTCACTTCCATTTGCCGGACTTCCAAATTTGTGTGCACACGATAAGTAATTAATAATAATAACTCAACATTTGTATTCAAGGCGAATTAATTTGTTGATAGCTATCTACAATTGAGGGCCGGAACGGAAAGTAAAAAAGTTTTATCGGCATAACATTAGAAAACAAGACAAAAATGTGCACTTTTATGTTGCAAAGCTGCAAAGTAACTGGTTTTCAACCTATCCAGAAATATACAAAATTTTCCACAATAATGTACATAAATGCTTTGTGACATTAGAAGCTTTAAAGAACTTAAAAGAGCGCATCGAACTGTTTCAAAGGGGCTCGGTCGGAAACCGGTTTGAGGTTTCGATTAGAAACATTCTCCGATTTCCTAATCACCAGCTTACCTCAAGGTACATCAGGTAGGTAACTACGATCAGCTCCAACGGAGCTATCCACAGGTAGTGCACGTTGATCAGAACCAAATCAAAGCGTCCCACATCGTTGGACAGGAGATTGACCACCTGACCCACTGTGGTATCGCCCAGGGCAGTTCTACTTAGCCGGAGAGCCTTGCGATAGATGAGACTGCTGAGAGCTATAATTAGGATAGGATTAACGGTGTTACAAATGAAATGCATAATTAAATAATACAAACTTACCCACTCGCATCTTCATGCCCAGATGAAGTAGACCCAACATATAGGGATGACCTATCAGCACACTAAATACGGAACCTGCTATGAGACCCGCTGCATATAACTGGGCCTTTGTTAGATCCGGATCATTACCGGCAAAGTAGGCCATCACACCGAACAAGCAGATGGGTTGAGTAACTCTGTAATAGAATGAAGGAATTGATTGGTATTTATGTAGATGACATTTATTAGAAGCTACATACTTCGTTAAGAACTCCTGGATAAACAGGGAGATACCAGTGACGAACAACCGAAAGCCAAATACTTTCATTAGGGCGCGACCCAAACTTGGTGTCCCATTTTTTGCCACCTGCTCATCCCAGGCGGCACACAAGCGATCTCCCAGGGAGTCTAAATATTATAGATGTTATTCATTAAGATAAGTAATGGAACTTAAGTCAAGAAACTCACCCGATTTGTGCTCTTTGAGCGCTCGATAGAGATCCTTTTGTTCCAGTGTCTTCTTTCGCCCTTTAAATAGTACGGGCATGGCAAAACTTCAAATCGCAGCAGAGCAGCATCACGTAGGTAGATTTTATTGGGTATACAATTAAAAACATAATTAGCAAAAGAATGCCTGTTATCAGGGACTGATACTGATAATTCTTCTGTGATGTTGTGACAACCAAAAAATGAACAGACAACTGACATTCCCGGCGCTTATCAGAGAAAAAACAGTTGCCACCCAATGCTGCATTATAAAACGAGTGTGTCACGGTCAGTATTCTCTAACGTAAATTAAGTTTTTTCAACTTGATTTTCACAGACAACAGATATCACCAATTAAACCTATATGTAATTTGAACGTAATGTGCATATTGGGTTGGTTTTTTATAGATACTATTATTTTCTCATTTAAAAAAATACAATCCATAATAATAGGCTTGGGAATACAAATATTATGCATCTATATTTTACGATAAGCCGACACAAAGGAGCGATGGCAAGTTCGCAGTGATTTTTATAAACGTTTAAATGAATAAAAGTTCAATAGACAAACAAAAATGTATCACAATTAAGAAACTGAGCGACATGTTTGCTGAACTTCAACTAATTGTTTTATTCCATAAGGAAATCTAATCAGTAATCAGAAGCTTCTATAAATCAAATTATGTTATGTTGTCAGATAGGCGTGACGTATATATGTGTTGGGTATATCCACACCTCTTCTAAAAAGCTTGTTTTTTTCGTAATTTGCACAGCTCTGATTCATATCGCTTGTCAGCACTTTTTCCGCCTAGCCAGATATCACCTTTGGATATCATTGGTACTCCAACGTTTAACATTTTAACATTGTTAGATTCCCTTTGAAATTATTTTCAACAGTTAGAGCTATAGGAAAGTGTCACTTTCAATTGGTAGCCAATTGAATAAAGATCCAGTCAAATGCAAAAAGATTTCCTCGCCTCGACCATGCAAATTAAGCGAACCATTGAATGAAATAATCAACATGTTGTCAGTGTTGTCACGCTGTCTGTCCCCCAACCCCTTTTCCGCCATACAAGGCCCAACAAAAAATGTAGCACCTAAACTAGTCATCAATGGGGTAATTTTTTCTTATCACCACAGCTTTAATCATATGAAAGAAACTATTTTTACCTCTTGTATTTCCTAACAATACGCACAATGTTTGAAAAAAATCTATTTTAATTTGTATTTGTAAACTGGTTTCTATTAAAAGTGAATATATGAACAGACATTTATATACAAAAACATTTAAATTTCTTTCGGGAATACCCTAGAAAGTAATAATTTCTACCCAGTTCAAGTATACTCACCAAAACATGAGGGCGGAGAGGGGGTTGGAGCGCTCGCGCGGATTCTCCGGCAGTTCATCGGCTTTCATCGACTGCATGCTGATTGCACTGATTGGAGCTAAATTGCACTATATAGAATGTTGCATTACAGGAGACTTGTTTGGTCACCGGAATTGTCTTTGGGCTGCCGCGGTTGATTAGCACTTCTCGATCCGAAGGGGGACACGCGCACGACACTAATATAATTAGTTTGGCATTAGCCGGGGAGAAACCAGATGGAAATGCGAGCAACTTTAAAAAATAAAATCAAATTCGATTTCTATTCGCGCCCGAAGGGAGTAAACTTTTCCACAAACTAAACTATACACTGCAGGTAATATTGCGTGGCATTTGATTTGGTAGCGGTTCAAAAGATCACTTCACTCGCAGATACTTAGTATTTCTATCTGTTACAGCCGAATCCGAATTTCGTCATTGGTAGCGCTGTGTTTCGTATGTGTTTTCATCCGTCGCACATCGGAATTATCGGGAACGTATAGAAGTACACATGGCACTACGCGCTATTCTACCCACGACTATGTGCTCGCTCCAACGGTCCGCCTCGTTCTAATGGGTGTCTCTCTCGAGCTCCACCTTAAATACTTGCCCCACTGAGCTCTCTGCGCTTATTGTGTCAGGTTAAGATCGGTACGGCGCTCTTTGGCAAGATTTGGGGGGCTCTTTATTTCTCTGGGGACTCCATCGCGTTGAACTGCTTGCTCTGTTGGGGCTTTCAGTGGGATGTGGGATGCACTATCGCTCTACTGATATCGCTCTTTGCTGCCAGCACTCTCGAGCTCTCTTTTGTGGGGGCTTTGTGATATCTAGCACCGAGTGATAAGCAGAGCAACGGGTGTTTTCCTCTGTGCTCTAGTAATCAGTTATAAACAATGTGTAATAATGATACGCTTTTTTATCATACATGCAAACATTATATTAATTTGTTGTCATACAACGAGCTGAGTAGCTCAGTTGGCAACTAAATACTAAATTAGACGTAGTAAGTTTGAAATCATGTACCTACCTATTACTTTAAGCAAATAAATAATTAAGTAAGTGTAAAATTTTCAAAATTTCGTTATGTAAAATAAACTTGAGCTATTATATTGCATACTTTCAGGCATAACAAAGTAACAAGGCGACTAAAAGTATGCTTTAAGAAATAAAATTGAAGTTTGAAAAAATATCGTTACTTTTTGAATTCTGCTATAATAATTCCTTAAATTAGATACAAATTATTGGTTAAATTAAGTAAAATTAACAACCATAAAATATATGTATAGAGACTGTGACAAAAGGACATAACTTGAGTTGTTTTGTCTTTAATTCTACATTTTTATATCAATTTTATTAAACTCCCATAAATCTCGAGTTATCTCTTATGATGTATTAATATGGGGTGATTGACGACGGGGTTCGGGATACCGGATTGCTAATTGAATTAATAAGATAACGCGTAGCAACAAACAAAATCGGCATGCATGTATGTATGTAGGTGGGGCCTCCCACGGGATGGGCAGGCTGGAGATCGTGGGCAATCTCAATATTGCATTGGATTGCCGGCAAAGGAAGTTCTCGATTAGATTACAATTCACAGCCGACTTATCAAAAGATATAGGTACTCATTGCAAATGATCACTTAGAAATTCTGGTGAAGCTATTAATGGTGCCACTGACCCACAGAAAAGATCCTACAAATTATATTATCTCGCTCTCTTGCCTCTCTGAGAGCGGGAGAGCGGGAGAGCGGGAGAGCGGTGTTACGTACAACTGACAGTTACGTTTTGCGTTACGTTGCCCAAAAATTGCTCATACGCCTAGTTATCCCAAATCCCAACCGGTTGATTCCAACTGTCACCGATAGAGGGATTCGTATTGTTTTATTGGCAATTGGAATCCTATTGGGAAGGCATTTTGGTGTGTGTCAATGGTGGATCGTGGAAAATGCGTAGATTTCGTGGATTTTGTGGATTTGCTTTAAAATCCTCAAATTAAAGTACCACAAATTTCCGCTTTGCAGCACTATTTTCCTTCTTCTTCGTCTTACTTTTCGCACAATTAATAATATATTGATTGATATTATCGCATCGGTAAGTTTTGCCATTGAATTACACTTTCTTCACACTCATTCATGCACTTTTCTACAGATCCGCAATGAGCAACCGATGGTGGCGTGGGCGTGGCCGTGGGCGCTCCCATGGAAGTTACTATCAGCCGTATTCGCGCCAAATTCCGGACCAAGCCCCGCCCCCCGCACCGGCTCCAACTCCCGTGGCGCCACCACCCCCCCAGCTAAACCGAAATGCCCGCGAATTGAGGCGGGCGATCGCCGCCGTGGTGGTGGAGAAGGTGGGGCAGGACCCAACCGTGGACCGCGGTATCCTTCGACGTGAGCTGACCTACATAATGGAGCAGCGCAATGAGATGCAGCGAGTCCTGGCGGCCGCTGAAGTGGTGTTTGGGGACAATGTCCTCCAACATTTCATAAAACTAGCCATTTATGAGCCGATGAAGGTGGCTGGGCTTCTAGGGGCAATCAAGGCCCCAACTGGAGGCCATCAAAGCACAGCTGCAACAACTAATTGAGGAGAGATTGAATAATGATTAATAAAAGTTAATAAAATATGGGATATGGCTATATGGCTTTTTATTTAAATGAAAGAGAAAGAGGGATGGGGGAAAGCACGTGTATTTATCCAGTGCTGGGAACGGTACGATTTATAGTGTATGTTTTTCCGGTGAGCCTTTCTTAAACAATTTACACATCAGTTTATAACTTATGTGTACTTATATTAGTAAATTAATGAACGCATTAAGCCAGTTATCCAGATATTAATCTTAAATTTAAGTTATATTGTAGTTCAATCGCATAATCATCGATATTTTATCACGTGCCAACACAATCGTTTTTCAACACTTGGAAAAGTTTTTTTGCAAGTGAAAGATGCAAGCGAATTATCAAAAGTAAGTAATATTATTAATTATTAATATTAACATTGTATTTTAACTATTATAACCATTATAACACCATATATAACAACATCTTTTGCCCAAATTGTTGTATTTTCGTATTCGTGTTGTATTAAACAAAGTGCAAAAAGTGCAGTCTAAAAGGTGACAAAAGTGAATATAACTAAATATACATAACTAATCGGGACTAAAAAACATCATTATAACCAATAACTTTCATATTTCACAAATCATAACAAAAGAAAATAGCAAAAGTAATCTAATTATGGTTGAGGTGACGCTTACATATGCATATGTATATGTGTACAGTGTACAGCATCGAAAAGAAACTTAAAAAGTCCATTTGTTTTCTACAGAATAAACTGAAGACCCGAGATCTATCCGCGTGGAGCCCTGTTTCCTGTTTTCCTGTGTTTCCCACCGGTGCCACCCATATGACCCAGATGCCCGTCCTAATTCCTAATGACCATTCCCCTCCCCTTCCCCCTACAGATCACATCAGTGAAAAAAGGTGCTGCCCACTTGGCAGGGGAGCCGGAAAGCCGGAAAGCAGACCGTAACGTTGGCGATCGATTTTGGACGGTCCGAGGTCCGAGTGAAGTGCACCGGAGTGCACCTGTATTCTCAGGATCGTGGAGCCCGAAGAGGAGACCATGCCCGGCGCAAAATGACTGGATTCAGGGATCACTACAACCAAGCCAAGGATCCGGATACGCCAAGATCCTCCAGTCACTACCAGGGGCTGACGTTACTGGACATATTTCGGATATGTTGGTCATTTTTCTTAAAAAGGGCTGGTATTTAAATGACAAAAACGTCAAGAAATGATATTTCATTGAGTTTTTTGTTTTGTACGACTTTTTGTTAGGTTGAATACCAGCCCTTAAAGATCAATATGGATTGTCAAGAATTTATAACTAGTAGTAGCCTAGTCTTCTTGTAAAAAATCGTTGTATAAATATGAACTTGCAGCCTGCACCGTCCCTGTTGGACGTGGGGTTTAATATTTTAATGTACAATTCTGAGCAATGTATTTATAAAATATACCTAATCATTTATTCCAACAGAATATTTGTTTATTAATTTATTTAATATTTATAAAAGGGTTTCTGCTATGGCCAGCTCTTGAAATTATGGCCAGCCCTAAAGTTCTGGGTCTTATTTTGTATACTTATATATTGTGTATGATTTTGGATTTCTAGGATCGTAGGATAATTTCACTGTGTGATTGTCTAAAGTTTGAATGGAGTTTTTGTTATTGAAAAACGATGTGCGGCATGAAAAAAGGTGCTGCAGTCGGCAGGTGTTTGTAGCAAGCGGTTAATGTAATATATGATATGTTAGAGTCTTTGATGGAACTAGATTTAAGATTGTGCAATAATTTTTTGTTGATGGATTGATTACTCGATATATTCTGCTGCGGTATATGTATACTAAGTATACTAGGTGAGTAGGGGTTTTTAAAAATTTTACCCGTTAGGTATTTTCGTTTTTGATTTATAGAGTTGATGTTTCTATTAGGAGAGTGCGGAATCCGAATGCACTGATAGCTTACTTTTCTGTTTGTCATAAAGTTTATTACTATTCGTTTTTTTATTCATGTAGATGGTGGTAAATATATTCTTGTCGCTTATTTTATTTCTTCTTGGACCCAATATATATCAAATATATATATTATCTATAAACATCGGATATTATGTTTTCTGTTTGTCCGTCTGTCTGGCTGTTTCAATACCGTTTGCGGATTAAGCAGATTAAGTTTGAAAAGCAGAATCTAATTAATATAGCTTCCATAAGAACGGTAGGGTAAAATATGTAAGTTAAAATTATGCTATTCTTGTCACATTTTCGTTTGTGAAATCTGCAGGGGTATTAAAACGTCGGCCTGCCGAAGCTCTTTTCGATTCTTTATATAGTTTTTCATATAAATATGATACTAATTTGTTATCTTTTTTTCAGCATTTGTGTAGTGAAAAACTGCGAAGGCCATGAACTGGCCTTCCGGATTTCACAAAAATTTAAAGATATTTGGCTTGCCAATTTACGATTAACTAGAGTACCTGCTAGGACCTTTGTCTGCAAAAGGCACTTTAAGCCTGAGTGCATTCAAGGCAATAAGCTAAGAAAACATAGCATTCCTACGGAAGAGCTAGGCTTTGAGCCAATTCATATTTTATCATTTGGTGGTCAGCCTAGAATAGCTAGAATAGAGAATATTACTGAGGCATACAAGATGAGGTGGAAATAGCTCCAGAACTAAGTGCTGAAACAGTGCCAAGTCATGAAGCTGAAATTGGGCAAAATGTTGGTCATGAAGCTGAAACAGTGCAATATGACGAAAATGTTGGTCACGAAGCTGAAAAATTGCACTATGACAAACAAATTGGTCACGAAGCTGAAAAATTGCACTATGACGAAAATAAATTAAATACTTTAATAAATCAAAATAAACGTTTAAAGAAAGAAAACTCCAATTTAAAAAAAACCGTTGAGTTTTGGAGGAACAGGTCAAGACGTCTAGCTCTGGAGAATGGATCTCTTAAAAGAGTATTCTCCAAAAACCATTCATGTGAGCAAGACAAAGACAAAATTGATGAAATGCTAGCGAAATGTAAGCAATTTCAGGAAAATCTGGCTTTTAAAATATCCCAATTAAATTATAAAAAAAGGGAGTTGGAAGAGGTTCTTTCAGAAAATATAATTAAAAATGAATTACAGTACAATGATTTAACTCCAGGTTTTGAAGCTCATTTTGATGAGCTTAAAAATTTAGCAAGCAGCCTGGACGAACCAGACAGAAACTGCGTATTGATATTTGACGAAGCCTATTTAAGGAGTCAAATTTCGTACCAGTCCGGGGCCGACAGAGCTGTGGGGTTTATTGACCATGGCGATGGAATGTCAGACCAAGATCTGTATCAGTGTTGCCAGATGAAAATTTTGCTTTCCCCCTAAAAAATCTCAAACAGTCGATATTTCCCCCTAAAAAATCCAGTTTTCCCCCTAAATTCAAAAATTTACTTAATTTCGAAAATATACAATAAAATAAGAAATAAATCAATATGGCGTTGTAGAAATGTTCAGATTGGAAAAATCTCTGTATAGTAATTTGTTGTTTAACATATATTTATTATTATATTTTGAAATACATGTATATATTTTGAAATACATGTATTTATTTGTATACTACAAAACGAGATCGAATTTGAAGAGATCACCTCGAGAACTTCATTTGAGAAATTGGTTTTTGGAAGCACTGGAGGCATGTTAAACTTAAATTCAATTATTAACCAGCAACGAAATTTTTCGGTAATCACAGTTAGAAAACTTAAAGGCGGTTTCCCAGAATCCGCCATCAGCTGGTAACACTTACACTCGATAGTAAAGTCGTGCGCAGTATTTTTTTGATATTTTTGCCATATTTAGGTAATTTATATGCGCGGCAATTTTTTAGAAAATCAAATATTCTAGTGTTTTTTTCAAAACATTTGGATAATACAATTTTCAAAAAAAACCCCTAAACTTTCCCCCTAAAAATTCTTCCCCCCTAAAATTCCCCCTAGCACGTCAAAAAACCCCTAAATCTAGGGGGAAAACCCCTGATCTGGGAACACTGATCTGTATTCCTCCCCAGCTACTGGGTATATAATATTTATGGCTCGCGGCTTGTGTGCCGACTTGATCTATTATATTGCATACTTTCAGGCCTAACAAAGTAACAAGGCGACTAAAAGTATGCTTTAAAAAATAAAATTACAGTTTGAAAAAATATCGTTACTTTTTGAATTCTGCTATAATAATTCCTTAAATTAGATACAAATTATTGGTTAAATTTAGAAAATTAATAAACATAAAATATAAGTAAAAAGACTGTGACAAAAGAACATAACTTGAGTTGTTTTATCTTTAATTCTACATTCGTATATCAATTTTATTACACTCCCATAAATCTCGAGTAATCTCTTATGATGTATTAATATGGGGTGATTGACGACGGGGTTCGGGATACCGGGTTGCTAATTGAATTAATAAGATAACGCGTAGCAACAAACAAAATCGGCATGCATGTATGTATGTAGGTGGGGCCTCCCACGGGATGGGCAGGCTGGAGATCGTGGGCAATCTCAATATTGCATTGGATTGCCGGCAAAGGAAGTTCTCGATTAGATTACAATTCACAGCCGACTTATCAAAAGATATTCATATGAATAATATGAACAAATTGTGACGAAAGTTATTTATAGGTACTCATTGCACATGATCACTTAGAAATTCTGGTGAGGCTATTAATGGTGCCACTGACCCACAGAAAAGATCCTACAAATTCGTTATAAATTGCGTGGGTACACAGACGAGACACAGCAACAAAAACCTGTATTTATAAAAAAATAGTTTTTAAAAATAAAAATATTTTTTGATGGGTTAAATTATTTTTAGTATTTTAAGATTCAACGGATTGTGATTATGCATTTAAAGAATCAATACATATATTTCAAAAAATAATTTTAACGTGGACTTCTCAACTCGAAAGTGATTAATCTCTATTTTTAGAGAAGTTTAAAGTTCGCGCCGAATTCAAAGTTTTGACTGTATTCAGGAGACTATTGCAATTGTCACCATGACAATGTGGCGTTATTAAGCCGGTATCTTTGAATCAATTAAGGCTGCAGCCAATTGATCACGCCAAGGTGCAAAGAGGGGCTGGTCCGACCCCAGAATCGGAATGATATTTTCACGTGTTTCACGTCGGACCCATTATACGGCGGGCCAATTCTGTGGGGGCCAATGTGCGGTGTCTTTACCTATAGAGCTCTACGATCCGTGCATACATAGAACCGTTAATATTTTTTGGAGAGCGCCTAAAAAAGCTGTTTTATGTAAGAGCGCTTTATGTTTGGCGCCGACATTTCGATGCCTTGGCGGCTGTACTTGGTTTTGCATCTGGTAATCCGATGCTCAGCCGATGCCACATCATTAAATGTTTCCGCTTATTCTCCCGAGACAAGCATCCAAAAACAAACAAACAAACAAAAAATTCAAAAGCCGTGCAACACTGAGCTGAGAGAGAGAGAGAGCGAGTTGTCGCATCTGGCAATGCCCCAACGCAACGCAAGAGTATAAAAGAGCCGGCGCGGTGCGAAGCTTTTTATTCGCTCCGAAAAAATTCAAAAGTGAACGTCTTGTGCAGATAAAACTAAACTAAATCCCCAAAAATGGCTTTCGTTGGCAAGAAGTACAAGCTGGACAAGTCCGAGAACTTCGATGAGTACATGAAGGAGCTGGGTAAGTGTCCATAGCCAAAACACTCCAATCTGCAATGCAGCAAAAATATAATAGGAAGCGAAAAAAAGTGCTCAGGAGAGAGGAGGGAGAGAAAAGAAGCCGAAAACACGCCACCCGAAATCGACCGGCCGGCATTTTTCGCACTGGTGTGCAAAAACTTTAGGGGCGGGTTAGGGGGAAGTAATTCCCCCTTTCCAAGTTCTCGCAAATAACGTAATATCCACGGAAAATTATGAATGAATTCCATTGTTCAAGCATTTTCAATGCACTTTAAAGAGACCCCTTTAAATTTCGCTCTAAATACGCCCCTGTTTAAATCTCCTTATGCGTGTGAGATGAAAATCAATAGCAGAAAGAAGAGATGCACAAGCTGCAAAAAAAACGTGTTTCTCCTCACCTCCTTTCCAACTTTACAGTTGCGAATCAGAGTGCAAAAGGTATAAAATCCGTTAAAGCTTATCTGCGGGAGTCATAAACCCAAAGACTAATTAAGTGTGGGGTCTGAACTTTGCTCCCCTTTTTGAGTCACTTCTGTCTATTTTCCATGGGACCAGACCATCATCATCATCATCATGATGACATTAGCTTTTGCGACAGGTGCCGTATATTTGTGTACTAGATTTTGGGGAAAGTTTCCCACTGAACTTTGTACTAGACTACAAGCTTTATAGCTGCGATCTTTGGCCAAGCTGTTCGACTAGACTACACTAAACAAAAGTGAAGATCATTAAAATGGTAGATACTTTATTACTGTTGAGATCGGAATTGTATCTACAATTTGTTTCTGTTCCTGTCTAGACGCCTCTAGAAGGACGCGTCTGGGGGTGGGACTCATTTGGAAACTGGAGATGGCGCGTCGCTTTGAGGTCCGGATTTATTTACCAGACCCCAGTTCACCAGAACTTTTCGCTTATTCTTTGCGGTTTCGATTTTAATGCTAGACTTGGGCCCCAGAGCCACGTACTTCTCAATTTTCAAACCCAAACAAATCCAATTCAACCTGTCGCTGGGGCCTCGCAGCAGTTATCAGCTGTCGTATATAAATGCGATAAACTATATGCCTATATGTGCCAATGGGCACGATAATTAGGCGCGATTACGGATTTTGCACTTTGGGCAGGCCGGCCCTATCATAGACCACAGTTCGTAATTGCAGGCCAGTCTAATCTATTCAAGGTTCTCCTGTCATATACGATGCATATAAATCGATCTCTGGTACAGTTGCTGGGTTCCCATGAGTGGGAACTTGGAAACTTATCGCGCGACGGCAGTTGACACTTGACTCGATGGGTCTTGACAAAAGTACGGGCTTGCGGTGGGGTTTCTGGTCCATACATAATTGAACATAATTGATTGGACCCCCTTGATGGTTTGATGTCTGAACAATGTTCTAGATTCGATAAAATACAGGTCAGAAAGCAATCGTGAGCCCTACATGTTTTTTTCAAAATGCTGTTCCTTTGTTTCAAGTACATCTCATGATTCACTTTGTATTTTGTTGCCAGATTGTTCCATAAAATGAAAGTCTGATAAAGATAAGAATTTCACAGAATGCATAAAAAAACTTTAAAAAAATGAAAGAGTAAATTAATGATATGAAAGAAACAAAGAGTTTTAATAAGAATGGGTTATACTTTATTCCAATAATTATAAAAATCAAGTATCAAATGCTAGTAATTATTTAAACACGGTTGAATGATTAGCAATCTTTTAATGATAGAATTACCTGCTTATCTTTCGATGATGTTATTACCTATTCCTTTGTAACTATCAGCACTTGAACATTTTACGGTTTATGAAAATTGGAGGGGCTGAACTTTTCCAATTAAGCACGTATAATTTTATAGAACAGAAATAAGTCTCAATGCCCTATGAATAATGATATGAATTACTTCAGTTTTGACCACATCTATATGCTCTCTAAATGACATGTTCACATTTATATATATGGGATGGGATGCAGCGCTGAGATAAGGCGCTCTCGCTCGATCTATATATAGAGGGGCTTGCCAATTGATAAGCCCGGAGACAGCGGAGGAGACGACGCCCGCATTGTTCGTTAACCTTGAGCACGACTTTTGACGTTCCGACCGAGTCTGCAGGGAACTTCATGACTCGGCTTTATTATTTTTAATTAAATATGATATGATTTGCATTGTGACCGCTTTGGGGTCCCCAACTTTGTTGGGCTAATTCAATTATGTGCAGTCTGCCCATAATTCATCTTTCATTCCGATCTTTGATTTCTTCACTTTCCCATCCCACAAGATTTACTGATTTCTGAACTTTACTTCTATTCTGCTTGCAGGCGTCGGTCTGGTGACCCGCAAGATGGGCAACAGCCTGAGCCCCACCGTGGAGGTGACCTTGGAGGGCGATACCTACACCCTGACCACCACCTCCACCTTCAAGACGTCGGCCATCAGCTTCAAGCTGGGCGTTGAGTTCGACGAGGAGACCCTCGATGGACGCAACGTGAAGAGCATCATCACCCTGGATGGCAACAAGCTGACGCAGGAGCAGAAGGGCGACAAGCCCACCACCATTGTCCGCGAGTTCAACGACGGCGAGCTGATCACCGTAAGAACACTCTATTGTCTATATCATCTATATCCGATATCCTAACTAATCCACTCCCTCCCCCGCAGACCCTCACCATCGGCAGCATCAAGTGCGTGCGCACCTACAAGGCCGTCTAAGAGCCCGGCATCTGTCCACGACTGATCTATAACTTTAACCATTGCAACTAACTCAGATAGCCACTATTGTTATTGACTAACAGTGAACTAAACTAAACCAAAAGGAAGTGCACGCTCAGCCCAATGTTAATTTATAATCGCACCCGTACACCCGCAGTCGGTGTAGGTGAGGTGCCCCTCACTCTCTTGGGGGACCAAATTCCAAATGCATTTGAATAAACTATTACACTGAAGTGCTTTTTAAATTCTCGGCTTTGTTTTACTCGGCATTTTGAGTTTGTTATTCTGGATCACGAAAACTGTGCTTAGCCGCATCAGTCAAAATTATGTTAATTTATATTTTTTTTGACTTGTTTCCCTAATTGCCCATTTGTGAGTATAAAAGTCAAGTGTTTTTATCATCTTATTACATAGCACATAGATAATATCAAATTTAAGTGAAATCGTGTTCTATCTAGCTAGAGAGATCGGTATGATTTGAATTTGACAATTGGTTGACGACATAGATATTTGTATAAATGTATCTAACATATGTAGCGTTTTAGTGCAGAAAAAGTAGCATTTTCTCATAGCTAATTCGTTCTTTACCTTTGGTATTATTAATACAAGTTCTACTGTGAATATGGAGAGGTACATATAAGTTTGAGTGGATGTTTAAACCGTACTTTTAGGAGGTTCCTCCCACGCGTTTCCGCTGCGACTCATTCGCGAATTCCGCCTCTGCGGCTAATTGAGAATGAAATACTGTACTGCTGAGGCTTTTGTACTGTGAGTGGGTCTGTTGAGTGCGTCCCACAAGTGTGGGTGGCATCTGTGGGATTCGGGGGACTGGCGCAGGCGCAGTTCTTATCACCGGAGAGTTAGCAGCACGGCCACACTTTCCGCCGGGTTTTTGGTTAACACTCACCGTTTGCCGGCAGCGTTGGAAATACGTGTATTCACATGACTCCCAATTGCGTCAGTCGGTAAATAGTAAACATTTAAGAGTTTGGTCAATTGGGCGTTATAAATTAAAAACGAAACCTTTATCGAGTTGATGATTGAGGCACTAAAATGGTCTGATAACCTGGATATAGCCGTCGCGTGGGTGTGCGTAAACTACGCGCGTTGTGTGTGTTTGTGAACCCATTGTGTAATCGGTGAGGAAAAAATGTTGGTCTACTTTGTGGCGTACAAAAATAGTCCCCCCAGTCAAACATTCTTGTTATTGTTCTTCGTTGGAGCTTTTCCGGTCGAAAAGCTCTGTCCAGTTTGTTGTTGTCTGGCCAAACGGGTTTCCGATTGAAGAGAGATCTCCACTGCGGTGTCAGCAAAAAAAGCCGTATCACGCCATAGCCGTTACTTTGGGGCTCGCTCTTCCCCACTCTCTGCACAGAACAAAAAGAGTTATTGGAACCTAAACGCATTTTCAAAGATCAACAATGGATTACTCCAAATTTGAAAATTGTTTCAAAAATGTATAAGTGAATCCTATATTTTTTTTACTAGATACATTTTGAAATATATTTCAATATAGAGTCTTAGAAAATTTGAAATTTTTTTCTGTGTGAATTATTGAGCGAGGGGAGAGTGGATCCCGCTCCCTGGAGAGCCGTTGTTTACAAAACGCCGACCATTGGAACTACAGTGCTCCCTTGTAAAAGTGAACTAATACAAAACTGAGAGCTCACTGTAGCGAAGTTTTTCCCTGTATCAAGAAAAGTTCGAACCTTAAAAATATTACAAAGTTATCAGTTTTTAAAAATGTTTCGTTTGGTCCAGCGGATGCTCCGCCTAATCCGGAGTTCATTCCTTAGAGGCACTACTGTATTTAATTTAGAGGGAGCACTGTATTCGCTTTCGCTCGTCGATTGGAAAATGGAATTTTTTTCGTACCGCCGATCAGTTGAGATTCAACCGCTGCCCACGACCGCCGTGCTCTCTGTCGCCTTCTCTTTCTGCTGCTGGGCATTCCAAAAATTTAATTATTTCGGTTTTTTGCATTCTAATGTGAGTAGTAAGAGAACAGAAATCCAATAGACAATTTAGCATGCTCCATGAGCAGGAACTAAGTGCAACGTTTGCAAGAAACGGTGGGGTTTCTGTGTGCCTGTGTGTGTGTGGGAGTGGGTTTAATCAACCACTTGTGTGTGAGTGGATGTCGTTAGGCACTTTCCAGTGCCGACTTATCAGTAGGCATTGTTTATGTTTATCCAGATTTCCGATACGATACCGAAAGTGGCTTAAACAACGGCATATTGTGAATAATTATGAACTTAAATTTGTGATTATAATTTATGGTCATGCGAATGTTATGTAATCGCTCTGAAACAATATAATTTGTCAAGTGCAAAGAGCGAACCCAACGAGCCTGCTGATATAGTACCGCTCCCACTCAAAACGCCAGACTTGACTATATCACCAGATCTTAAGTAATCGCTATAGAGATTTTCTAACAATCGGTTAGTGTTTGTGTTAGTTTGCCGATTCTTCAGTCCCAGTTTGTTTTGAACCTTGTCCTCAAGGTGAAATTTCGGGCGATAAATGAATATGCGTAGAAGGTAGAGAGAGCCATTGATTACACTAATGGAAACTACAAATGATAATACCACTGATTATTACCATTAAATTGGAATTTATAGAATGGAAAAACATCTGCCTTTTAATGTGTATCGCATTCTACTTAGACAATTGCATAACTAAGGCAGAATTGCACTTGAACAAACATTTGATACGAAAATTAAGGTCAATATTGGTAAAGGGGCGCGATTCACGATTGCAATTTCAATTAAGACTTCAAGTTTTCTTCGGGAATTTATCTCTATATTATAGGGACATTAGATTTGAAAATTTCCAATAAACAAATGATGTTTTGAAATCTATAAATGGAACTTATATAAGTGGAAAACATCAAAACAAAAGCTATGGGGGACTATGGACTATAGAATGTATCTTCTATAATTCCTTTAAGAACAGTAATCCTTTTTCTGGATATTGTGATTCTCAATAATAAACATTTGTTTGAAGAAGAGTTTCTAATTAATTTATTGAATTTTATTAGTATTAGAGAAGAACAGACCGACACTAAATATTTTTTTGTGTGTAAATCTTCGTGCATAATTAGAAAAACACTGCACCCACACAAAACGAGTCTATTTTTGTGGATCCGTCAACAACAATGGTATATAAATAACTTTAGATCGAACAGAAATCAGCTGGAATCCAGTGAATACCGAGAACTACTTTCCCCCAGTTCAATAAATCTACTTCCCTCCCCAGCTAACTTCCCACCAGCCCAGTCAGCATGGATCGCTCTTGCATCTCCGCCCTGGTCAGTCCGTACCGCCGGCGTCCTTGGATGACGGAGAACGGCGCTGCTGCCCCAGCCGGCGGACAGGTGGGCCTCAAGGGCATTGTCGCCGGTGGCATTACCGGAGGCATCGAGATCTGCATCACCTATCCCACCGAGTACGTGAAGACACAGCTGCAGCTGGACGAGAAGGGAGCGGGCAAGAAGTACAACGGAATCTTCGACTGCGTCAAGAAGACGGTGCAGCAGCGGGGATTCTTCGGTCTCTACCGCGGACTCAGTGTGCTCCTCTACGGCAGCATTCCCAAGTCAGCGGCGAGGTAAGTTCATTTGGAAAATGCTATAGCAATTTTTTTTGTTAAGTGTGTATATAAAACTCAAAATCCAAGGATTAGCTTTAAGATTACTAGATTACTTTAGATCAGCGGTCGGCAGCTTCGTATTAAGTGAGCATAGGAAATGGTTCTGCCCATCCTCTGCCGCTCACGTACACTGTACAACAGCGCTCTGCGCTATAAAATAAAATAAAACAAAATGGGATTGTATTGGGTGCCGACCGCTGCTTTAGATCTATGAAATCCTATGTTATTATATTAATGTATTCTCTACTCAGGTTCGGCGCCTTTGAGTTCCTGAAATCGAAATCCGTGGACTCCCGAGGACAACTGAGCACCTCTGGAAAGTTGCTGTGCGGCTTGGGCGCTGGCGTCTGCGAGGCCATCCTGGCGGTTACTCCCATGGAGACCATCAAGGTGAAGTTCATCAACGACCAGCGTAGCGCCAATCCCAAGTTCAAGGGTTTCGCTCACGGCGTGGGTCAGATCGTCAAGGCGGAGGGCTTCTCAGGCGTTTACAAGGGCCTCACGGCAACCATTCTGAAGCAAGGATCCAACCAGGCGATCCGGTTCTTCGTACTGGAGTCCCTGAAGGATCTGTACAAGGGCGACGATCCCAACAAGCATGTGCCCAAGTTGGTGGTGGGAGCGTTCGGAGCCGTCGCCGGAGCAGCATCTGTGTTCGGTAACACGCCGCTGGACGTGGTCAAGACGAGGATGCAGGGCCTGGAGGCCGCCAAGTACAAGAACACAGCCCACTGCGCGCTGATGATCATGAAGAACGAGGGACCCGCCGCCTTCTACAAGGGCACTGTGCCCCGATTGGGACGCGTGTGCTTGGACGTGGCCATCACCTTCATGATCTACGACTCCTTCATGGATCTGTTCAACAAGGTGTGGGTGTAACCGCAGCTGGCGGCCTGGCGACTTAGTTACTTAGTTTTTCCCCCTACCCAAAGCCCAATCGTGCATTTCTTTCTCTGTATCCATTGACCTAGTCGGCTGTTGCAATAGTTTCTAGTTCCGTGACATATTCCAAGAAAGCATTTTATACATATGTATACCCGCTGTGGGTATATAGCGATAGAAATTATACAGCTTGTTTTAAATATTGAATTAAATCTGAAATATCTGTTTAAAAAACAATGGTTTTTCTTCTTTAGACAATTTTTCTCCGAAAAGGGTTTAACATTTTCTCAAGCTATCTAATCTATCATTTTAAATTCGCCATAAATCCAGTCAGTTAATAGACTAAAAACAAATCATGTTCATGTTAAAAAGCGATTATTTTAATTGGTACTATATAATAGTAAGTTTTCTTTGTAATTTGCTAAAGATATATTAGGCTAAGTCAAACAAGTAAACCTTAGATAAGATCTTTCACCAAGAAACGGAAACGGGTAGGGATATCTTCTAGACATTAATGACAGATTAGCGTATGTTAGCTCAAGACTAACCTACGCAATCCATTACTTAGCACCGGAGAATGGAAAAATGATCGCATAACAGTCGGACATCTGGTTATCTTTAATTGCAACTAATAACGGATAGATTGCTTGCACCATAGATTAGGACAGATTACTCTAGTTTTAGACTATAAGGCATTCAGCGCACCACATTCAGCGGAATGGAGGCGTTCTTGCTGCTAACAATACGTCCTAGCATCTCATCGAGTGGTGCTCCCAGTTCCTGCCAAATGCACTTGCCGATCAGGGAGATTTCCTCGAGTGGCGGTCGGAAAGCCACCAGCAGATTCAGGCAAATACCATCGGAGTTCTCCTGCTCCGTAGGCAAGTGCTCGACACTGAGTAAGCCATGTGGTCTATGCTGTGGCAGCTCCGCGCCAAAAATCTCAATCATAAACTTGCGCAGCGTAGAGTGCAAGCTGCGATTCGGATGCAGTTCGACGGTGGGGAAGTGGTGGGCATTCTTCTCGCTCACGAGGATGTTCAGGGAGTTGTGGGCCCGCTTCCTAGCCACTGCCAAAACACGCAGATAGTTGCGTTTGTGGGTGAAGCGTGTGGGCAGAATGTTGCCGTGAAAGGGCGACGGGCTGATGGCGATTTTCTGCCCCTGATGGTAGGCTCGACCAATCTCGATGATGTTGAGTATATCGTTGGCCCGCAGAGGCACTTCCTTGGGATTGCGCACCCATCTGGCCTGAATGGACTCGGCATCCGCGTCCGCTGGGGTCTTCAATCGCCCTCCCGTGATGCGTCCGGTGAGCACGAAGCGGAACCAAGAGCCACCGGCCGCCTCCACGGCCAGCAAAGTGGTTAGCTCGGCATTCAGACCGGTCTCCTCGAAAACTTCCCGGGCGGCTGCCTCCGTGATGGACTCGCCGCGCTCCATGCGGCCGGCGGGTAAGTACCACTTGCCTGGTCAATAGAGTGCAACGTTAGCGGGTTCTAGAGGTGTGGTTTTAAGTACTCTTCCTTACCTGCACAGCTCTGTTTGGCCTCCTCGATCATGAGCAGCTCGTCGTGCTCGTTGATCAGCACACAGGCCACAATGTAGGTGACTGTCTGGCCGAGAATGGGCACAAAATCGGAGGCGGACGAGGGCTGAACTCCTTGGGCCTCGGCGGTGGCATTCTGTTCCTTGAGCGAGAAGTCGCACAGCTCCGTGGTGATGTCGCCCAGATCTTTGGCGTCCAAAACGCGACGCACTTTCTCCACAATCGAAGACATCCTATCCAGTTTGTGCTAAACGACGATGATGATAATGATGATATTAGAAATTCGGAGTCGTCTACAACTGGTAATACTCACTTTTAGCGCTGAATTTCAAGGCGGCTGACTCAGTTCGTTGAACATGCTACGCCCAGTCGGAATCTCTGCATATATCTCCGTTTCTATATATGCAAATCACGAATTCTGGGGAGTGCTCTGCAGACGCTTGGAGAATTCGTGGCGAACTCGAGAACGGGCGGTATGTGACTGAGTTGCGGGGCTATAATGCCCAATAAAATGGCCTAGACGATGGCAATCAACTTTTGTTGCTCTTGTTGTTCTTGTCGCTACGGAGCAGGTGGCCTCTATTTCTCGCTATTTCTCTCTATTTCTCTGTATTGATATCGAAATGGATGTCAAATAAGCCGCTCGACGGGTTTTCTTTGGGAGAAAGTGCATTGGAATGTGTCTCCGTGTTTGCCAGCTGTTCGCCGTTCTTCTCGGCACTTGGCCAACTCCGTTTATCGATCGAGTATTATTGTTATTGCACACTTATTTATTGCACTGCCATTTAAGGCCTAATTGATTGGCAAGAACACAGGTAAAACAGGTAATTTTGTTTGTAAATACGAAGTAGGGTGGCCACTGGCCGATCTGGCAACTCTGCTGTTTGTTTACCTTTCTTAGTCAGACCATATGCCGGAAATACCCGATAACGCCTTTGCCCATCTGGTATTAAACGGCCAGCCTGGTCCCACCATTTAAATTTAAATTCATCCCGACCGTTATATTTCATTAACCACAAACACTCACATTGTTTGCTCAGCCTGTTGTTGCCTGAACAATGCGATAATGTACATGTTATATGCTAATTTCAACGACGACATGCATCATTCAATTTCACTGCGAATTTAGCCGACAAACAGCAAACAGGCGTTGCGCCATAGATTAATATTAAAGCGCATCTCGTTTATAAATATCCCATCCGGCATATGGACAGACGCCTGTGTGTGTGTGTGTATGTGGTGTGCGTTGCGTTTGCGAGCAGGAAGCTTCGCTGATTGCCGGCAATAAAATTTGAATGCGGAAATTTCATTGTTTACCCAAATCGATCATCATTAAAAGCATTGCTGTTGCCATTCCCGGTTGCCATTGCAAAAGTGCCAATTGCCCCGAATCCATGGCGTATACTTAACGTGGGCGGGCCACCCAGTGGGTGGTGGTTTTGGATTCCTGGGGGATGGGGATGGAGATGGGGTGGCGGTTTGACTACTGGTAATGGGCCTGCAAACTCGGATGCCTGGGTAGGTAATTCAATTTTGTGCAAATGCTTGATTTGCCATTTAGCTGCGAGACCTAATCCTGCGTCTTGAGTTTTGCCTACACAGCGAAAATATTCCCACGGAAATGTCATAACTTATTTATGACCTGGTCTCGGGAATTTGACACTCAGACAAGGTGTTTAAATCAATTAGTTGGCATTTACAGAAGTACAAATATACAAGATTCAATTCGACACTACATGTTTAAGTTGAAAGAAGAAATATTATTGTTTAGAGTTCCTAAAAATATAAATATAAAAAGTTACATTTTAAAAAGATCTCGATTTTGCCTTTGGAAATACTTTTTGTTTTTTTTTCATTATATAATTTTATAAAAACAGGATTATGAATAATATTTCTCGCCGTGCTTTTCCATTACTTCGCTTCCTCTTAGGCCTACTTCATCCGCTTCCTCCATCCCAATCCCTCCATCCCCCCGGCGACTCCGCGACCACAGTTCACATAAGACTTTTGTCATTATATTGTTAATTTGTTTTAGTTGTTTTTTAATTTCCTTGGAGAGTCGCAACCTCGTAGAGGCTTACATACATGCGTTAGGACTCGAATGTAGTGGTGTGTGCTTGTTAGAATTTCGGTGGGTGTGGGTGGGGTGGGGTGCTGGATGGCGTTCGGGTGGGTGTGCTAATGTACTGTGAGTGGATCTCTGGTAATAACGGCTAAAGTAAAATGCTGATAAAGTGGCGAATGTTTCGGAATGTGCGAGTGTTTGTGCGAGCGGATTCTGCTGCGTGGCTGTGATGACAGGCAAAAGCGAACACAAAACGTTCATTTCCCACATGCACCATTATTCGTTGAAGCCCGTAAATTTCACCGAAAACGAACAGCAGCAGAAAGCAGCAGAAACAGCAGCAACTCCATGGCAACAACGGCAGCACCAATCCAAGAAGCTGCTTAACACGAGAATAATGTTTAAAATGTTTATTATGTGTGCAAGTGACGCGAGCTCCTTTCCCTTTTCCTTGGCATCTTCCCCCTTGGATGACAGGCCCAACCGAGGGGCCAATACGCACACATAACTCTGCACTGCGAGAAAAACAATGGGAACAGGTTGGAAAATATAAAAATTTAAAAAGAAGTCCATGTAAGTCGAAGAAGATATTATTTTAAAAAAGGAGTGCCATTAATGTAAGGATGGGTTAAAAAAATTTAAAAATATCAAAGTATTATAGTTTTAAAAAAAAAATGAAAATTATCTTGAAGTTTTAGAAAAAGTATAAATGATTTTAGTAATACTGGAAATTATAAGGAAATTATTATAAGAACCGGAAGTAGGATGTCCAAACAATATTATCAGGTTATCAAAAATTTCCGTTCTGCCGAACAAATCCTGACATAAAACCAAATTTGCGTAATGAGCATTATGCTTCAAACCACTTTACAAATTCATAAGCATAAGCCCCTTATATTTGAAACATTCTGCCGGGCCTGACATAAAATCCTTAATCATGCGAACATGAAATCAAATCCTGACTGCGTGTAACCGCTTTGGGTACGAAATACTCGGTTTTTGTTTCTCTGTGCGCAGACATATGCACAGAAAGCGTATATGTATACGCACATATGTATTTACATGTGGCAATGTTGATTTTCGTTGTGCCAACGCCGGATGCGAAACAAGTAGTCCAAATAACCCGCAATAAGCTTTTGTCACGATTAACAAGGCTTACGCAAATGTGTGTCTCTGTGGTGGGAAAACCCCATCCATCCACCCCCAGCATTCCTGCACCCCCATCCCCTTTCCACGTCACTGTTTCCAGCATAATTACATGCACGCCATGCGTGAGTGTGTGTGTGTTTCTGCGTGGGAGTGGGTGCGTGTGTGTGAGCCATATTTTAGATTAATGATGGCGTCGACTCGTATTAGGCAAATGAAGAAATCGACATCGACATGCGGTTGGGGGCAAGGTGAGCTCACCCCCAGGACCCCAGGATCTTGGATTAGGAACCTCCGGTCCTAGGTGCTCCGCTTTTTGGCCCCATCCTGTGCGGTTTTCGCAGCACTTCCGCAGCAAATTTGCCACAACAATAAGTGCATATCATTATGCTGATTTAAGTGGGCACGGGCACCCCACACGTACCCATCTATAGCGAGTTATTGGCCGCACACCTGACCTCACCACTACGAAGAAACAGAAACAGAAGCAGGAACCCAGCCCACAAATGTATGCTACACAAGAATCGCGGGTCTGCAGCTCTCCTCGAGTCTCGCATGCAAGTGGGTACATAAATCTTTGTTTAAAGACACATGCACAATGTAAGTTAAATTGGCAATAACGTGCTTTCTTTTATACGCCAAGCTCACAGCAACACACACATACATACTCGCGTTTGTACATCTGCGACCACAGGTGCGGTCAACCGAATAGCAATCGAGTATTTGCTCTTAAATACAGTCGAACTTCCTCGGCGGAAACTTTCCTAATTCAAAGTCTGTGTAAGTCGAAAACAGTTGAAGTGGCTATCAGGCCAAGAGATACTCATATCAGCGATTCTTTAACTGAAAGTTTAGTTATAGTATGTAGTTTTCTTTATTGGTTCATATGTCTAGGAATTTTATTCAAGTTTGAGTTATAAAGAATAAATTTTTATTTTTTTTCATTAACTAAAAGTTAAATAATAAATGCTGTCACCAGGCTAAACAAGTTATAGACCTTGAAATGAAGTTACCCTGCTTCTATGCAGTGTAGGCCATGGAATATTATCGCTCATAAGGAAACATAATTAATTATTTATGTTTATATTACCCAGCCCAAAAACCCTTAAGTGTGCGCACCGCTGGTGAGATAATAAAATGTTCGTTTGCAGCGCTATTATTTTTTCCGAAACTGTGCCCGAGCACACAGACGTGCTACGTACACTCACCGACATGCATATATATGCAGATGTAGATGTGGCCGTATACATAACGGTAACGGAACCTTGTTTGCAAGGAAGTAACAACCTGTTTTCACCCCGTAGTTCGTGGGTTTTCGCCGCGGACGTGAAGGGGGAGGCGGGGATCTGGATCCGGATCCTATGCCACCCCGCCCACTCTGGTTTTTGTTGCTGTTATGCTTTAATTATGCCCTTGTCAAAAGGTGGGTCTGGGTCTCCGGCCCGACATGTCCGTAACTCAGGCCCCCTTTCTCTTTCTGCTACTCTGGCTTTGTTCGAGCGGATACAAATTTACTATACGGTATGTGGATAATATATGTGTGGAAGTGTGTGCGCGAAGGCTGTCCCATAAAATTCGGGAACACACATCATCGATTGCAAATACGAGGAAAACCTGCAGCATCATCAATGCAGAAAGGCAGTCCTCGTCCTTTTGAAAACCTCTTTTCTTTCCCCCAGCTCAGCTCTCATATTTTCCCCCTCCAAGAGGAGAAAAAAAAAAAAAACAAAAACTAAAACCAACAAAAAAGTTCCACTCGCTCGCCACTTGAGCTGCCATTAAAGTCGCTTTTGGCCGAGCGAAAACGGAAACACGATTTTCAGCTTTCCCAAGGCGACATGCAATCAGCGGGTCGGCTGTCGTCCACTTGCAACTGCCAACCGAAAGTTTTGACTTTTAGATAGCCCGGTAATCAGATCCCTCCATTCGGCACTCTCGGTCAAAAGTCAAAGAAGAATTCATTTGCATTTGATTGTTTCAATTATCATAACAGGATTATCATGACCAAGGGGGGTATTATGTTGTGGTTTTCTTTGTAAATGTGATACAATCCCTAACTTAAGGAAGTAACCGCTTTGGAATCCACTATATTCGTAATATGATTATGTAGAATTAGGGAATTTAGATGTATTTAATAAAGAGAATTTCGCTTTCATATGGGAAACACCACATCAAAATAAATACAACTCCGAAAAAAACAACAAAAATCCAAATGAGCAGAAGCACATTGAGCGATTTAAGTCAAAAGTAGCTTGTAAGCTGCAAAAAAGCCGTCTGCACTTGTCAGTTTACAAGGTACTTTTGGTTTACAGGCAAGATGTTGAGACCGTCTTTATTCGGGCTGTCTGTCACAC